CCTCTCTTGCCGCGCCCACTGCTCCCCTCAGCAGTGTATTTCGTCACTCTGCCTGTTCTGTTCCCCACTCTGGCTCTGGTGAATTCTCTCACCCTCCTGTGCTTCTGACTGTACCCAGTGCTTGTATAAATAAATAAATAAATAAATAAATAAATAAATAAATAAATAAATAAATAAATAAATCTTTTTTTTTTTAAAAAAAGAGAATGTTTACAAAAAAGAATAGATAAAAACAACATCTATTAAGAATTTACCAGATGCCAGAATATTTTACCTACATATTATCACATTTTCTATTCCAAAGCATATGTCAAGGTCATTTATGTCTCTCCATTTCCACTGCTAACCAAGACAGCCCAACCGTACCACCTTATTTGCCTAACTATAATAGCCATTAGATACACTCTTACTTTTCCAATCCATTTTCCATCAGTAATCAGAATATTTTTGAAACATTGCCTTTTTAAACCCACAGCCTATAAGGCTCTGATATCTTTCAAACCTCATTTCATATACTCCCACCTTACCCTAGCTTGAAGCAGCTTCCTCTCTGTCTCTGAACATGATCAGTCTGGTCTTCAGGATTCCTTTTTAGCCCCAGCTTGCTCATTTTCATTTTTCACACCTTGCTTAGTCACCACATCTTTGGAAAAGGTGCAGTCCCAAGCCAGCATATCTAATGAAATGGCTCCTCCTGGCTACATCCCAGCCCATCACACTACGTATTTCTTTTATAGCACTAGTTTTCTCAATCCTAATGTCTGTCCAATAATGGGTAGCACTATACAAACAAACCTTATGCCTGTTGCCTTTTTGCTGAGTGATCCTCTCACAAAAACCCCTATGAGGTACATATTATGGTTAGCTTCATATCAGTTAAAAAGTCTATCATTAACTTGAACCACCAGGAATCATACATCAGCCTGAAAAAAGTCTTTCATAACTGCCAGTGTTTCTATTATTTAAGGAGATGGGAGAGACCTAAGACCAAAAGTAAAATTTGTACATTACTTTTCTTATGGTAATAAATACTAATAAATTAGACAGGACTAAAGTAGACAAGTGTAACTTCTTTTTATTTAAAAACTACTTTTATTAATGTGGGATTTGAGCAAAAGCATTTATCTGCTAGTTTGGTATGTAGTACTTAAAAAGAAGCATCCTCCCAGTGTACCTCAGTCCATCTGCCTGTTCTGCTCCCTGCTCTGGCTCTGGTTAATTCTCTCATCCTCCCACGCTTCTGACTGTACCCAGTGCTTGTATAAATAAATAAATCTTAAAAAAAAAAAAGCATCCTCCCAATTTAAAATTTTGTCAAATGAATACAAATACTTGAAAAAAATAATCTATGCAAAGCCAAAGGAGCTTTTTTAAAAAAAAGTTATATATACTATAAAAACTAACATTTATCATGTAAAACTATGTGCATATTGCAGAGTATGTAAAAAACACATTAAATTTTCTAGAAAAACCCACTGTTAATAAAATAGCATATATTCCTACTTTTCCTCCTAGTTTCATCTATTAATTTTTACCTATTTATACAAGAGCATTTCTTCATGGTACTAAATATTATTCTAAATTACGAGTTTTTCAAATGGCTGCATATACTGCCACAAAATATGTACCATAACATATTTTGGCTTTCAACGCTTCATAGCTATAAATGTTAGCAATTTACGATGACTACTAAATTTGTGCACACATTTTAATGTATGTCTGAATATTTCCTTAAAGTAAATCCCTTGAAGTGGAACCATTGAAACAAAAGGTATAAGCCTTTAGGGGCCTCCCTGGTGGCGCAAGGGGTTAAGACACAGCACTATGAAGCTACCCTCAGCCACTGCAGCCAGAGTTCGATCCCTGGCCAGGGAGGTGACCCACATGGCACAGCAGGCCTCTCCTGTCTCGCCTGCTGCTCCCCTCAGCATTGTGTTTCAGTCATTCTGCCTCTTCTGCTCCCCACTCTGGTGAATTCTTTCACTCCCCACACCTCTGGCCCGTACCCCAGTTCTTGTATGCATAAATAAATAAATCTTTAAAAAAAAAAGTATAAACCTTTAAAGTTCTTTGTATAACAATGGAACATTACTCAGAAATCAAAAAAGATAAACTCATGCAATTTGCAGCAACATGGATGGAGCTGGAAGGGATCATGCTCAGCAAAATAAGCCAGAAAGAAAAAGAAAAATACTAGATGTTCTCACTCATAGCAGGAATTCAGAAAACCTAAATAAGGGACCAGGAAAAAGACTAATTATAATAAAGTATAAGTCAAAATCAACAAGCAACTATAAACCAGAGACACACTGGGGGGGAAAAGGAGGGATTAGGGTCAAAATAAAGGGGGTTGGGGGAATTGTATAGGGACTATAACCAAGATGAAAATGCATACATTGCGCAAAAATGAAAAATGATGTTAAAAATATATTTAATAAATATTTAAAAAATTCTTTATATACAAAAAATAACCTCTAAACAACTGTTCAACTATGTCTCAATCGGTATTAGGAGCTCCTGTTTTCCTGCACCCTCAATATGAGGTACCGTCATTATGAAAAATTTAGCCAATATGAACCTGCCCAAAAGTAGTATACCTGTAAACTTGTATTTTTACATTCTTATTAGTGACTATAGAACATTTTTGCATTTTTATTGGCCATTTGAACTCCTTATTTATTTCCTTTGCCCATTTTTCTACTGGAATGTACAAGGTTTATAAAATTTCTTTATAAATTAGTGACACTAACTTTATATTTGCACTGTAATATAAATAAGTAATCACTGTTTGTTGAAATGTGGATAGTCCAAACTGAGATGTGCCAGAAGTGTAAAATACCCACTGGGCTCTGAAGATTTAGTACAAATCAAGATAATGAAAATATCTCAGTAATTGTTACAAAGATTACATGTCAAAATATTTTCAGTATACTGCATAAAACATTAATTTCATTTGCTTTTACTTTTTAAAATATGGTTATCAAACAACTCAAAATGACATGTGGTTCACATTATATTTTGTAAGGTGGTGGTATAGAATATTGTTTTCACCCTTAAGTATTTTCAGTGGTTTAATTTTTCCCCTCAAAATTTCTTCCTCTCCTTATTAAGTTTTTCCCTGCCACATAATTTTAGAATTATCGCTTAACAACAAAAAAATACTTTTTGACTTTTTCCCCAAAATTCCTTCAAATATTCTTTTCTTCGTACAGGCATCCAACTTAATGACCAACTTGATTTAACATTTTTACCATAATTTTGATTGCCCTTTTAAATATAGTTGCAGTATTACTGTAAGTAAATTTTCACAAACAAGATCATTTTTAAAACCTACTTAGTATTTTTAAATGTAAAAATAATTTTATTTTTTTGTGGTAATAAACATTCCAAAGAACTTTGCAAAGTCATTCTGACTGGTGAAATAGGTAATTATTATCTGTGGTTCACAGATGGATGAGACAGACAGCACGTAGTTTTTGAAGTAATGACAAGCTACAGAGAAGAGGGACTATAAATTTACCCTATTTCAACTTCTTTTTATCAACAAATAAAGAGTACTTCAGGCAAAATTAAGCCACCACCACACCTAATTTAAATGCAAAATACTAAAACTACTTGGTCTATAGAAGCAATAAGACTAGTAGGTTTACTTGGAAATCTTGGAGTACTGTTTAACCAAGATGATTCATTTTGTTCAAATGTGAACCTTGTATACTGTCAATCCAGTGCTGTTAAAATTAACCCATCTGAAATTTCAGGAGCCAGTTTTTACATTTATTGCAACTAAAAGAAACATATATTCTAATATTATTATAAATGACTGTAACTTCCAACTTCTATTTCGAAGTCATAAACATGATACAAGTGTTGTGAGTATTTAGGAAATGGTTCTCGAGGCATGCCCCAGAATCTGGAGGCTATGATTAAGAGTGGATGTTACTGTCTTTTCCCTCATTCCTTCCAGTTCTCAAGCTACAGCATCCAAGCAATGGCAGTAAATAAATAAATAAGGTAAGCCTGATCAAAATTCACAAGATCAATGTTATGTTGGAAACTGCTGAACAAATGTAACTGAAGAAAAAATGTTGACGAGGAGATAAAAATTCCCGGCAACCACATTTTTGGGGGTTACAGCCCCAGAAAACACTTTTTCATCAAAGATCGCTCAACAGAGCTAAGGAGTTCTTTTGCTTTTCTGGCAAACCGGGGTTCATTCAATGATGGTGGAAGGTCATACCCTCAAACCTAAGACTGAGTTGTAACTATAGCAAGCCTTATCCCCCTCAGGAAATGTAAGTAAACAAATTGGGAGTATGAAAAAAGGAGCAGAGCAATAAAATCTACCTGGTCAAAAGTGTTCAAAGATGAACCAGTAGGCGAGCTCCCAAGACCCAAGAACTCGGTGGCGCCAGTAATATCCTCCTTCCTACCAGGGTCATCACCAGACATCGCCAACTGGGCCTAAAATTTTGTTTTTTGTTTGTTTTTTTTTTAAAGATTTCTCCATCTATGCATACAAGAGCTGGGGTACAGGCCAGTGGTGTGGGGGGTGAGAGGATTCACCAGAGACAGAGTGGGGAACAGAACAGGCAGCCTGACTGAAATACACTGCTGAGGGGCGCAGCGGGAGAGCCAGGAGAGGTCCACCTAGCCATGTGGGTAGCTCCCTGGCCAGGGCTTGAATTCGTGCTGCAGAGGCTGCGGCACCAGGGAGGCCCAGGCCTAACACTTTATTCAGTATAAGCGGTCTCTGTCACGGATGCGACTCGGCCCGCGACCTGCCGCCACTTTCCGCGGGGACCGCAGGTGAGACCAGCCAGGGCGGCCTGTCAGAAGCCCCGCGGGCAGGGCAGCTGGATGCAAAGGCAGAGGCGGAAAAAGGTGGCAGCGTCGGGGAAGGGCCGGCGGGCGCGCAGCCCCACGAGAGGCGCCGGTGCAGAGCCCGGCCTGGTCCTCCAGTCCGGCTTCCGCGGAGGCAGCGGCCGGCGCGGGACACTCACCCTGGCGGTAGCTGGGGCTGCGGGCCGCCGCCCTGCAGCGCAGATGCAGCCGGCACAGGGAGGACCAGCTACATCTGTGGGCCGCAGCGGCGGCGGCCAAGCCCGGTAACATCCTGGCGGGGCAGAGGCTCCCACTCGGACACCACCTCCTGCCTCAGCGCCGCCGGCACCAAATGACTCCATAGACCGAGCACCTGCGAAGAGCGATGCCTGCGCCGCCCTAGGCGGCCTCGGAGCCGGAAGCCGTCGCGCCGTTTAGCTACACCGGCGGCGGAGAAAGCGGAAGTGACGCAAGTGCGGGGCACGCACGGGGAGAGCTCGCGGGCGGCCCCCGACGTGCTGAGGGGGCGTGGCTACGGGGAAAGGTGCTAGCCGTCCCGTGTGCGCTTGCGCGTTGTGTGGACCTCGTCGCATAGATTGATGGTCTCTTACCAGCCTGGAAAGCCTGGGGAGAAACGACCATCTTTGGGGACCTCTGCCTGCTTACTTCCTTTTTTTCTGGTCTCGAAATCTGCGCCTTGGTGGTGTTAGTGGAAAAAAGCGGGGAGGGCCGGTGGCGCAGCGGGCTGAGCGGCGCGCTGTGAAGCTGTCAGCAGCCTCTGCAGCGCGGGTTCGATTCCCGGCCGGCCTGGGAGATGCCCACATGGCGCGGCAGACCTCTCCTGTCTCGCCCGCTGCTCCCTCAGCAGTGTCTTCGGTCCGTCTGCTTGTTCTGCTCCCTGCTCTGTCTCTGGTGAATTCTCTCACCCTCCCGCGCCTGTGACTCTACCCCGTTTCTTGTATAAATAAATAAATCTTTAATTAAAAAAAAAGTGGGAAACTGGAAAGACCAGAGTGGAGGCTAATGTATCCTCTGTACTCTCCAAACTTCATCACGGTAACATCACTGTGTGGCCGTTACCATGAATGCTGATACTTCAGAATGAGGTCCTCGCACTGCTAGCTTCCAATCTTTATTTTTTTTTAAAGATTTATTTATTTTTATACAAGAGCTGGGGTACAGGCCAGAGGCACGGGAGGGTGAGAGGATTCACCAGAGAAAGCAGGGAACAGAACAGGCAGACATATCAGAATACACTGCTGAGGGGAGCAGCGGCGCGACAGGAGAGGTTTGCTGCGCCATGTGGGTAGCTCCCTGGCCAGCCGTGAATGGAACCCGTGCTGCAGAGGCTGCTTCACAGCGCAGCGCTAAACCACCTGCGCCACCAGTGGAGTCCCTCCATTCTTCCTTCTCCCAGTCTACTCAGCTTCTCCTCCCTCCTCAGCTCCACCCTTCCTTGGATGAGGCAGGAAACCTGGAACGTCCCTTTTCTCTAGAGACTACCCTGTTAATAGTTTCAACCATAATTTTAATCAAAACTTTTTTTAATATTTATTTATACGAGAACCGGGGTACAGGACAGAGCCGCGGGAGGGTGAAAGGAGTCACCACAGACAGAGCAGGGAGCACAACAGGCAGAAGGACTAAGTACACTACTGAGGGGAGCAAAGGGTGAGACAGGTGAGGTCTGCTGCGCCATGTGGGTTTCGACCACGCTGCAGAGGCTGCAGACAGCTTCACAGTGCAGCGCTCAACCGCCTGTGCCACCAGGGAGGCCCTCAAAACTTAAGAGATTTAGGGCCTCCCCGGTGGCGCAGCGGTTGAGCGCTGGGTTGCGAAGCTGCCCGCGGCCTCTGTGGCGTTGGTTCGATCCCTGGCTGCTCCCCGGCCACCGGAGGAGGGTCCCACATGGCGTGCAGACCTCTCCTGCCGCCCGCTGCTCCCCTCAGCAGTGTACTTCGGTCCTTCTGCCTGCTCTGCTCCCCGCTCTGGCTCTGGTGAATTCTCTCACCCTCCCGCGCTTCTGACTGTACCCAGTGCATGTATAAACAAAACAAACAAACAAACCAGCAAACAAATAAATAAAGCATGCCTCTATAAAAAAAAAAAAAAAATTAAAAAAAACTTAAGAGATTTATTATATAAAATAGAATTTTAATGTATATGTGTTGTCTGTTCTTAAAGAAGTCATTCCTTTTGTGATAAACATTTTTACATTTTTAAAAGGTTAATGAAAGGTTTCTTTACAAAAGTAAGTGAAATTATTATCTCAGGGAGAAAAAGAGGGAGATAAATTCGTGAATGCATCCTACTAGTAACATTTTTACATTTTTTGCAGGTTTGGTAAAATAATTTTAATAACACAGCTGTGTAATATGTAGAACATAAGTGTGCGGTACATTTTCACAATTTGTTAGGTTTTTTTTTTTTTCTACCCTCCTTTCCCACAGTAAAATGGGGGTATAAATTTACTATCATACCATATTAATTTTGATGAAGTTCCAAGTCTTGACTTGCCAAAAATTTTGAAAAATAAGGTCAATCACGCTGTGTTTATCTTACTTAATCCTCACAATGCTGTATCATGCAATAAATGGTCTCTGTGAACATTTTTTAAGATTTATTTATTCATACAAGAACTGGGGTACAGGCCAGAGGTGCCAGGATGAGAGGATTCACCAGAGACAGAGTGGGGAGCAGAACAGGCAGACTGACTGAAATACACTGCTGAGGGAGCACTGGGCAAGACAGGAGATATCTGCTGTACCATGTGGGTAGCTCCCCGGCCCGCCGTGAATCGAACCTGCACTGCAGACTCTGCGGACAGCTTCACAGTGCTGTGCTTAACCCCTTGAGCCACCAGGGAGGCCCAGGTCTCCATGAACTTGAGCTAAAATACACTGTCATCATATGCTGTCCCTCTGAATAGTCTTCAACTTTCCCCATGTACTGAAAATTAAGGTGATGGGGCCTCCCCGGTGGCGCAGCGGTTGAGCGCTGGGTTGCGAAGCTGCCCGCAGACTCTGCAGCGCCGGTTCGATCCCCGGCTGCTCCCCGGCCACTGGAGGAGGGTCCCACATGGCACGCAGACCTCTCCTGCCGCCCACTGCTCCCCTCAGCAGTGTACTTCGGTCCTTCTGCCTGCTCTGTTCCCTGCTCTGGCTCTGGTGAATTCTCTCACCCTCCCGCGCTTCTAACTGTACCCAGTGCTTGTATAAATAAATAAATAAACAAATAAATCTTTAAAAAAAAAAAGAAAAAGAAAATTAAGGTGATGTTAGCTTTAGAGCTCCACAGGAGAACTTCTTTCAGCCTGAATTGTTTGAGAAATCCTATCTTTGCCAAGAGGCTGTTTTAATGCTCCATATTTAGCATTCAGCAGCTACCTATATGTACTAAACAGGTAAGATCCATAATCATAGTTTATTTTCTGCTGAAGGAAATAAAATTTAAAAATAAACACCTAGCTCATCAGAAATACTGATACTTGTAGTACTGCTATGCATCACCTACTAGTTGTCACACCGTTTGTATACATTATAACATCTTAGTAAATTTATCAATGAAAAAACTGAGGCACAAAGATCATGCTCTTAACCACCACTTTGCTTACTAAGTCAGTGGATTTTATCTCTTGGAAGAAATTATCAAGTCTTTCAAAAGACTCAAATGACAATGTGGTCTTTGTCTTCTGAAAGGTAGGCTGAGATCCTTTTACGTCATTTTAAGTGTGATCAAGATGTTAAAATGAGTTTCATGAGAATCTGTGATATAAATAGATATCTAAATATAGGGAATTATTAAGTCAGATAGATGGAAATAGAAGTAGGAAAGGGGGCCTCCCCGGTGGCGCAGCGGTTGAGCGCTGGGTTGCGAACCTGCCCGCGGCCTCTACGGCGCGGTTCGATCCCCGGCTGCTCCCCGACCACCGGAGGAGGGTCCCACATGGCACACAGACCTCTCCTGCCGCCCGCTGCTCCCCTCAGCAGTGTACTTCGGTCCTTCTGCCTGCTCTGCTCCCCGCTCTGGCTCTGGTGAATTCTCTCACCCTCCCACGCTTCTGACTGTACCCAGTGCATGTGTAAAAACAAAACAAACAAATAAATTAATTAATTAACATGCCTCTATAAAAAAAAAAAAAAGAAGTAGGAAAGGGGTGAAGAGTCACTTACTTATCACAATATACTACAACTCCTACAAGGCTCTCCATTAATTTCTTCTCTGAAGAAATTACAATATCAGAAATTTGCTTTCATCATTTAATTGTCTATTCCTTGGTTTCATGCTATCTATTCCTTTGGGGAAATATAGTTCTGATCATGAGACTACTTTGGCTTGATCTGGAAAACTGACATTTATGTTACATGACTTTCACCCTATTCCTAAAAGGTTCTCTTGACTTTCAGGATCTTTTCTCTTTCAGGAATCTACATGCTGTCTGCAGCATTCCACTCAATTTCCTCATCCCTCTCTTTTGGTTTCTCCATAGGTACCCTCAGAGTTCTGCCCCTCCAGTGTTTTGGGTTTTTTGTTTGGTTTTTTTTTTTAAGATTTATTTTTATTTATTTATTTATTTATTTATACAAGCACTGGGTACAGTCAGAAGCGCGGGAGGGTGAGAGAACCCACCAGAGCCAGAGCGGGGAGCAGAGCAGGCAGAAGGACTGAAGTACACTGCTGAGGGGAGCAGCAGGCAGCAGGAGAGGTCTGCGCGCCATGTGGGACCCTCCTCCGGTGGCCGGGGAGCAGCCGGGGATTGAACCAGCGCTGTAGAGGCTGCGGGCAGCCTCGCAACCCAGCGCTCAACCGCTGCGCCACCGGGGAGGCCCTTGTTTTTTTTTTTTTTAAGATTTATTTATTTGTACAAGAACGGGGGTACAGGCCAGATGTGTGGGAGGGTGAGAGGATTCACCAGAGACAGAGTGGGGAGCAGAACAGGCAGACTGACGAAATACACTGCTGAGGGGAGCAGTGGGAGAGACAGGAGAGGTCTGCTACGCCATGTGGGATTCTCACCACCTGGCGAGCCTGGGATGGAACCCGTGCTGCAGAGGCTGCGGACAGCTTCGCAGAGTGGCGTTCAGCTGCCTGCACCACCAGGGAGGCCCTGCTCCTCCAGTCAGCCTGCCCGCCCCAGCTCAGGATCTATATTCTCCCACCAACCACATTGTGTTGCTTTTGTGGCAGTGGTTCTCAACCAGGGGCAACTTTGGCATGTCTGGAGACATTTTGTTTGGATACTACTGGCATCTGGTGGGTAAAAGCCATAGATGGTGCTGAATATCCTCCAATGAACAGGGTGGCCTGTCACAACAAAGAATTATTTCCCTCAAGAGCCAACCTGATGGCACAGGGGGTTGGGATGCAACCTATGAAGCTAACCTCAGCCACCGCAGCAGAGTTCAAGCCCCGGCCAGGGAGCTACCCACATGATACAGCAGACCT